TTAATATTAGTATTGCAGTCTTTGAAAAATACAGATTTTTGTGGTGGATTCATGATCCAAATTAAATAGCCTTTATACTTTGTTTCAAAATTATGTTTAGAAAACCTGATTTTATAAATAAGTAGATTACAAATGTTTTGTGCTAAGGAAAATGTATAGTTTTGCTCTTGAGGCTTAAAATATAAGCCAATTGCAGTGGCGCATAACTATAGTCCAGCTACTCAGGAGGCTGAGGTGGAAGGAATTCTTGACCCCAGGTGTTTGAGTCCAGTTTGGGCAAAATAGCAAGACCTCATCTTTAAAAAAAAAATTCAATTGATCACATTTAAGAACTTTGGAAATGTCATTTTTGGCTTACTTGGTATATCCTTATCTCACACCCTGATCTTTTTCTAAAAGGTGCTAGGAGTGTATATCATCAGTTGTTCATGAGCAGTCTGCTTATGGATTTGAAATACAAGAAACTCTTTGCTGTTCGATTTGCAAAAGTAAGTGGTTTTCAATTTTGATAACAAAACAGGTTATGTATGGAGTAATTATGGCCCATGATTATATGTAGGCTTCGAAAAATTAGCATCTGACAGTAATATGTCAATGTGTTGATTTTAAAGTCTAAGAAATTTCATAAATAATCTTTTTTCTTTTATCAATAGAATAAAATTATAGCAGAGAGACTTCTTGTTCATCACCTCCCACAGTATCATGAGTATCCTTCTATGCAGACTCTGTGATTTAAAATGATAAATTTAAACTAGGCCATTGTGAATTATGATATTGTTTTCGCTAAAGTTTGTATAAGGAAACAATAATCTTAGTTGAAATAACATGTGTATATGGATTTGATTTAAGAATCATGAACTCTAAGTTGTTGATATAGTCGAATTAAGTTCTTCTCCTTTCAGCAGCATGTGATTAAGCTAACCACTTATTTTTTGTATTCACTCGAATTAGGAGTTCTTAACCAAGGAAGCATATAAGAATCATTCAGAGAGCTCTTTCAAAATACATGTGTTTGTGTTCCATTATCAAATCTACTGAAGCATATTCACCAAGCGTGGGGGCCCAAGCATGTGTATTTTGCAAAAGTCATCATATGATTCTGATATGCATCCAGAAGTAATGGAAGTCTGTTTCAGCAGAGGCAGTGTAATGCTGCTGTGGTTTAGCCCCACCAGTGTACGTTGGTGTCTCAGGATTATAGGAGATGTGACTGACTATTTGGGCTGGTAAACTGCCATGTACTTCAGAAGAATCAATACTTATACAGGATTCCACAGTGAATCAATATTTATATAGGAATTAATTGGTAGAAATCATCCCAGTTATCATTCTCATAGCAGTGTTATCTTACTGACTTCCTCCAGCACTGACTTTTCATTATAATCTTTAAACATTGGTCAATGTGGATTAGAGGTGAATCTCCCCCTTGTTGTTTAGAATTACCAGCAGTTGCAGAGAGATTTTATGGAAGATGATCACGAGCGAGCAGTGTCGGTGACTGCTCTGTCTGTCCAGTTCTTCACCGCACCTACTCTGGTGAGTAGTGCTTACTTTTTCTTGTAACTGATAGCTGGCACTCCTTGCCTTTTTTTGCCTTCTTAATAGAACTATGAGCGTTTGCAGAGTGATTATGTGACAGATGACCACGACAGAGAGTTTTCAATCGCAGACCTCTCGGTTCAGATATTCACGGTTCCTTCGCTTGTAAGTACTGAAAAACTAGAAGAACTTTCTTGTTTTCCCTTAACAAAAGTAAGGCCTTAAAATAACAGAGAACTAAAAACTGTATATTCCTGAATAGAATAATATTTTATTAATGGGCAGATTTCAGAGACCTTCAAATATATTAAAACATATTTTTGAATATCAAAGTAATCTGGGAGGAACAGTCATTTAAATTTAGTCTATACTTTCCCTCTCTTCAGAGTAGAGGATGGGGAAAAAAAAATCTGTGCTTTCTCGTAATACTTTCCTGAGGTTTTGAATGATGAGTTACCATTAAGCTGATTGATTTAACAAATTTATCCTTGACATTAGAATCGGACAGCATACTGTATACCATCTCACAATTTGAGAAGTCCTTCTCCCCGCCCCACTGCCATAAGGGAAGGGGTAGCTAAGGCAGTTGAATCACAGTGATTGTGAGCTTCACTAGTTGCTCCTGAAGGCATCATTATGTAATCACTATATAGTAATTAAAATTCCTGTTTAATTTGTTCAACAAATTTATTAAGCACCTATTTATTGGGCACAGTTTTAGGCTTTGAGAATGCAACGATGAACGAAAATAGATGTGATCCTTGCCCTAATCAAACTTAACATAGTAGGAAAGACTCACAAAAATAGTTCATTGAAATTATAATGAAAACTCTGAAGACTTTGGTTGCTTTAAGAGAGAATAGTAAAGAGATCTGACCTTTTCCCACAGTTCAGAGAGGGCTTCTCTAGGGAAGATATCTTTATGCAAGGGCATGAGGGAGGGTCCA